TAAAAAATAATAGTATAATAGTACAAAATACGTAAAAAAAAAAAAAAAAAAAAAGAAGAGGAATATAGAATGGTGGGACAAGAGATCGATTTCCTGTGCTGCACAGTCACCATCGAGTTGCGTTCAGGAGCCTGTTTTATGTTAAGCTGCGATAAATGCGCTGGCAAATTTGCCGGAGTATTTTCCTTTTCATTTTCTTTTTCGACGAGTCTGGAATTTGAAACCGGAATAATTTCGTAGAGATCATATTCCGATCGCTACAGGCGAAAAACGTTGCTTTTTCGCATCCAAAGTATCGAGAATTGAGCTCGTTGAGATTGCGCCGATCTCGAGAACGCGCAAAGAATCGCCACCGAACGTGCGAGAATGTTTCGCTCGAGTAAGATGATATACCGAAACACGCCGAGGAAGGTGTATTAATTATATCGCGTAGTTATACGTGATAGCCTCGAAGGATCGAAACCGGTCTGATTTTGGAGAGTTCTTCACAGGATCCTTCAGAGAAAACGAAAATAATTCATGCGGATCAGTTCTATCGAACGTTGATTTAAACTATTATTTCGCTTCTCAGAACTGGAACCAGAGACTACAGAATCGGTTTAACCCGAACCTCGGTCTTCTTTCCAGTTCTAGTTCCGAAATGATATCCTTGAGACTAATCGTAAACTTTTGCGACGAGCGGAGAACACGACGGTCGGCGTTCCTTTTTCTCGCGTTTACAGCACGGAAGAATTCTTTGAACTCACCGAAACTGCGTCAGAGATTTCGATTCGTCGACTGGCGATATTAGATATCCAGATTTTCGCGAACGCGGGAAAAAAGTCGGCTCCTCATCGCGCGCATTGGCACCTACTTGCAATTCTCAGATGCTGCTGCTGCTGCTCGAACAGAGTGCTGGGAGGACAGTGCTTGCGAGAGAGGCGAAAAACAAGTAGAAGTAGTAGAAGAGGAAGAAGAAGAAGAAGAAAAAGAAGAAATAGAGAAGAAACGGCGTTACCTGTGCGCTAAACTCACCAGAGGCCCCTGGCCGCTTGTGGGGAATCGGCCTGTGGTCCCGACCGGAAGCGCCCGGAAGTCGCGGTTGGTACCGTGGAGAACGATCAGCCAATCCCGCGCCACCTCCTTTAGCGAGCGGGGGCTTGGGATTGGCTGCTACTCAGCCTCAAGGCCGCTGCCGATGCTTCTCCTTCTGCCCTTCTCCCAACAGGCCCCGAGTATGCGTTGTGCGCTACATGGCCGCGCGCGGGGCCCAGCGGAGAACAGCGATCGGGGTGGCGACTCCGCGATTCCGCCGCTCTGGAAAAATGCTGGCGCTTCGATCGGATTGTCGAATGCCGCGGCGGCGAAGAAGCGGCGGAATTGTCGGGTCTCTCACAAACCCGATGGACGGAGGAAATGCGCGTAGGATGCGTGGCTCCGTCGATCGGCACCGTCGAGCTTACGTGACGCCGTCGATCGACGCCGTCGCTCGACGCCGTCGCTCGCATCTGCCGCTGCACTCGCGAATATCCAGCGCGGATATCCAATCCAGAGTTTTTGAATGTTCAATTCCGCCAATGTTCACAAAATCCGCCATAATCTATCGTTCCGCGAAAGTTGAAAGTAAATGATCAATTAGGTATCATTGTGAATAAATTACATGATTCCTCTAAAGTAGGATTTCAAGATTCGTCCGAATCTAACTTACTCGAATAAATTTGAATTATTCAAAGATTTGAAGATCCTATCCGAATAGTCGAAACGTCAAATTTAGATTCTCTCAATGAATTTAGATTTCTGGTATCTGAATACTTAGAAACCCTATTTCTTTTTTTTTTTTTTTTCTTTATTTCATTCACGTAGTATTGACGGAAAAGCTGGACATTCAGAACTTGACAATATTCGCTGGATACATAAATGTCATACGGGACATTCAAGGAACATTGAAAAATGTCCATTGATTATCCGAATCATACGAGGCGGACGGCAGTCACGCAATAGGATGGGAAGAAAGGGGGTTGCCATTCTTACGGGCGATCTTTTTTCCATGAGTCCTTACTATCTATCATCCGCGTGTCGATTTACGTGTCGGCGATAACGACCGGGGATAGCAAGTCGATCATCAATCTACGATGCCAGATTGGAGTGCGGGTTGAAAAAAAAAAGATCTTATAATTTTGTCACGTGTCCAATCGATATATTGATGCATAATAATAGGCCAGATCACTTTTTCGATTCTCAAGAGTTCGTTATAATTTTGTAAAAAGGCGTCGTTTAACAATGCGTAAAGTGGGATCTCTGCATGGATGCGTCGGATGCACCTCGAAGTGCGTGGCGCGAAGCGGCGTGTTGCGTGAGACGAGTGTGGCGAAATTGAATTTCGATTTGTCGGTGAATTTCACATCCGGCAAGTATTCGCGAGAAATTCATTTCGCCGTACGCGTAGCGTCGAAAGTCTGCGAATGCTATGCGAAGAATGAAGAAAATGGCACAAGGCATCGCCACACAACTACGCCTTCGCGTCCGAGCCGGTTAATTGATCGGATCAGTCAGTTAAATTTAGCGTATGAAACGATAGAAACATGTGACGCGATATACGGGATGTCCCGGAAATCGCAGACTTTCCTCGCGTCCCGCTCTCGAGCCTCTCGATCTTTCGACTGCGATCTCGAGTTAAATTTTCATTTGATTTAAATCATCTCTTTGATAATACATCTCTTTTGAATTTTCTCCGTAAGAGACGTATCTCTCGAGCTTGATCTACGATGAAGAATTAACAACTCTCTATGTGATCGCCGACTCTGAAATCTGATTTTACAATCGACTCCACGATTGTTAATTTTCCACGCACGTTAGCCCGATAATGACGGACGCCTCGAAACCGACCGCAACAACCGTCTCGCTTCTTAGCCACTAAGGAAGCGCGTGTCTTCTCGGGTACACCCCGTATAAGTGCATATAACGTACGGCAATCGGCCATGTGTGCGCACGATTCACGGACTGTCGACGATGGTCGGCCCACTTGCAAATAGAAGGGCAAGGGGGGCCTGGCAGTGATGGTACTAGTAGTTGTGTAGTAGTAATCGTGATGATGGTAGTGGTAGCGATGCCAACCAGCCAGCCAGCCGGCCAGCCAGCGAGCTGCTCCTGGATTTTCGTCCACGATGACGGGAAGGCAGCGCGGCGTGTCCCGTCGCTCTCTCTCTCTCCCCTCCTTACTTGGGCCGCGTGCGGGGGTGATTTTCGGGGAGGCAAAATTCCAGCTTCCAACTGTTGCGCAAATAACGTGGCGCAAACGCAGTTTCGAAGGCGTGGCGATCGACAAAGGGCCCGGAAACGGCCGATAACGCGCCGTTTTCCATTCCCCCTCGCTCTCGTCACTCTCTCCCCTCTTCCCTTCCGCTCTATCTCCGTCTGTCTCTCCCTCCCCCTGCCGATCTTTTTTCGCCGTCTCGTTACGCACCACCTGCGGAGTAGGAAGGAGTCTCGGCCGCAGAATAAACGTGTAACGTGCGCCTTGCTCCAGTCAGGAACGCGGGACTCCCGATCACGCGAAGGGGGAGGAAGAGGAGGAAGAGGGCGGCGGCGACGACGGCGGTGACGGTGACGACGAAGGCGGCAGCAGCGGCGGCGGCGGCGGCGGCGGCGGCGGAGGGATGGTGGTCAACAAGAGGCCTCCTCGACGTGTAAACGGCACGAGCGTATTCTGGAATTCGAGACGCACGAATTGTCTTTATCACAATTGCCGCTAAGAGGGATGTCGCTCGCTTCATCACCTCATCGTTCACTCCCTCTCGCTCTCTCTCTCTCTCGTTTCTCGCACGCATACGCATTTCTCTCGTCCCTCCTTTCTCACATTACATACGCACATTCTCTCTCGCTCCCTCTCTCTGTCATTCTCTTGTTTTACTATCGAGACTTCTGCCCGACGCACTTTTCTCTGACGCATCGCGCACGATAAAACGGACACTCGCCCACCGTTATTTCTCTCCGTCGGACTGGCAGACGCTCAGGAAACGAGGAGACGTCCCGCAGGCAGGCGATCAACCTTCCTCGAAGGCGATCAACCTTCTCGTCGTTCTCCTTCTCTTCCTCCTCTTCTTCCTCGTGCATCGTGTCGTCCGTCGTGGCACGATGCACCGCGCGATCGATCCGTCTCTCGCGTAAATTTATTGCTTCCTTCCCCTTCTACACGCACGCGGGCACGCACGCTACGTAACTGCGAATATTCGGATCGCCAGCGAAATGGCGAGATTTCGCGGACAGGCGATCGCGGAGGCGAGCGAGGCCAAGCTTGATGCGTGACGGGCGACTCTTCGTGCCGCGCGCCACTCGACGCGGTACCACGGTGACGGTGACGGTGACGACGACGACGACGACGACGACGGCGGTGGCGGTGGCGACGGACGATAACGACGCGAGCGATCGAACGGAACGTGGAATAAAGAGCGACTTTGACGCGGTGCACCTCGCGAGAGGCGGTGTCCCAGGATCGCCTCCTCGAAACGCGCGCGACTGCCGACGGAACACCGACCGCGGAAACGTGACTCTCTCCTTGCCATGGTAAGCGAGCGCGGTGTCGGTTCGGTGCTTCTCCTTTTTCTTTTTCTTTCCTCGTTTTAACGCTCTTTCCCGACTCGCTCGCTCGCTCGCTCGCTCGATCGCATGCCATGATCCACAAACTCGATCGCGATCGACGGATTTTTTCTCGCGCGAGACGCGACTCCGGTTTGCACGATCGCAAATTCGGCTCGCGAGCGAGGGGCAGAAGCGGCAAGATCGGAGGAAAAGGAGCCGACAGCGTAGAGGATATCTACGAGCCTAACCTCAAAATGGTCGTTTCAGGACGTAGCCGCGTTCTCCGAGGACAGCTTCAACGTGAAGGAATGGATCAACCGGACGTTCAAGTCCGCCGAGGCGCAGGAGAACAAGGACGTAAGTCGCACGGGTCGCACCATCTCCGCTTCCGTCGATTCCCGGGATCCCCGGGATCGCTCCTCGGATTCGAGTCTCGCTCGTCGTCGCGACGCCCGTCGGGCCGCCGAACTGGCGGCTTCCACCGACCGCGGCGGCGGTCACTGACACCGCGCGATCGACTTCTTCCAAGATGATTCCTTTCCTCGCATCACCTTCAACGAAGGTTTTCAGCCCCCGAGGAATAATATTTTTAGATGCTCGCGTCTCTCACACTCCGAAAAAAAATCGCACTGGAACGTTACCGACCGATAATAAATCTTCCTGCCTGTTCCGTGACATTCGTATATTTTTCCATATTTTGAATAAATTATTATGCAAATATAATTTTCATTGTCGTACACGAATAATCACTTGTTATCTTTTTTGTGATAAACATTTCAATGTCATTGTAAATTAAAAATAAAGGGATTTGTATATTCATAAAGTTGTATATTCATAAAATTTGTATATTCATAAAATGATAAGAGATTAATTATATACGAGTAATAACGAGAAATATTTTTATAATACTATTAAAAATTATTCTAAAGGATCTATGGATGTGCAAATGTCTTTTAAAAATTTATACCACAGCTGAGTTTTTTTTTGCAGGCTTTTGTTTCATCTTTAGTGATGAAGTTGCAGTTGTATGTGCAACAAGTTAATGGTGCCTTGGAGGAGACCAGTCAATCGGTTCTTTCTAGCTTACCAAGAATTTTAAGAGACACTCAACTCCTACAGCAAGAAACTTTAGCGCTGAGAGAAAAAATGGTTGCTGTCAAGCAAGAGATCGCAAAGGTTGATATATCTAGTTTCTTTAAATATTTATCTTGATGCGTTGTAATAACTTTGGAAAATAAACATTGAAACGCAGATCGAGAAAGATACAGCTTCTTCTATGGCGACGTTGGAGAAGATTGATAGAATAAAAACGGAATTGCAAACTGCTAAGCAAGGATTACACGAGGCTGACAATTGGACGGTGTTGGCAAACGACGTGGAAGAGGTATATATAAAAATCCCAGTTGGTTTCCTCACACACACACATACACACACACACACACACACATTTTAATAGAATATGTGATGATTGTAAATATTAATTATGTTATTCTTCTCAATAAAACAGGTATTTGAATCTGGCGACATAGAAGCGATATCTAATAAGCTGTTTAGTATGCAAAAATCTCTAACTATGCTCGCGAATGTTGTCGATTACGAGGATAAAAAGTTGCAGTTAGAAGGCTTGAAAAATCGTCTCGAGGCGATGGCCAGTCCGCGGTTGGTCCAAGCTTTTACCGCCGCCAATTTAGGTAAAACTTGTAGAATTGAAATAAATCTATTTACGTCATTTACGTAAAATCTATATCATATTTACGCAAATTCTGTATCATATTATGTTTAGAGCAATCGAAAATATATGTGGATATCTTTGGCAAGATGGAACGTCTGCCTCAGCTTCTTAAGTATTATCATAACTGCCTGAAAGTTTCTTTGGGCCAAGAATGGAGACGTACTATTGAGCTAGCACAGGATGAGAATGTTACCTATTGGCTACATACTTATTATGACAAACTGTTATCTTCTTGGCATGAACAAGTATGTGCAATCTCTGCCAAGATCGAAATATTATTATTGCCATTTTGCAAATATTTTCTGTAACTGTCTGTGTGTTAAAGGTGAAATGGTGCCATCAAGTCTTTCCTAATACTTCGATAGATATTCTTATCGAGGTTTATGCTGACCTTTTAAGGAGCCTCGATCCTGGTATTCCGGAATGCATAGAGGCAGTTCTGAAGCAACATTCCAACACGGTTCAATTGTCCATTCTACTCGAATTAAAACAGATGACGAGGCATTTTGCCGTAAATCTCAGCGGCGCTATCGAGACGTTGCTTCGTGGAAAATTGCAGAACGAAAAGTTACTATCGTTAGCGCAAGCTGTATATGCGCCTTACGTTCCTTACGTCGCGAAATATAGCACGTTTGAAACCGCGCAGTTGGAACAACAACTACAATTTTTGGATCGTTCGCATGACGATTTGAGCGATACTATTAATTCCCTTTCTCTTAGCATTTCGCGGATTATGAGTTATGCTGCTGAAGCCAATAAGCGATGTAAGCTTTTTACAGAAGGCTGTGGATATCCCGGTTTATTGCGATCATTAAACGTACGTACTAAAGATTTCTCTTGCGCCAACGCTATATGATTATAAAATGCTATTTCTTATTACATTGACGAGATACCGGTATTTTTTATAGATTTATTTCAATAAATATCTCGAGAAATATCAACAAGGTTTAAGACAACTCGAGAGGAAGAAAGTGAAGCACGAAGATTGGAATTTGTTCCAAATGTGTCTTACATTGATGCAAACTATAGGTGATTATCAGCAATCAGCTAATTTGTAAACACAAGAATGTTAAATTTAATTTGTGTTATTATATAGGTGATCTTCTGCATCAAATACAACAATTCGAAAAGTCGCTTGTGATTGACATAACAGAAGCTAATAACAAATTACAAAACACGAACGGTAGTGCTTTTTGTCAGTACAAGAAGTTGTTGTTAACCTCATCAGGATGTACTGATCTGGAAAATCTTGTTGCATCTTTCCAAAGAGGTATATAGTATATGTGCGCTTAATAAATGTATAAGAATCGTAAGAGATAAATATTCGATATTTTTTTGCAGAGGACAAAACGATTCTCGATTCAATTATAAAATCTATTCAAAAACTTTGCACTGATTTACATCATATTACGTACGAAGTTATTTTTGCGCCAATTTTCTCTCAATTGCTACTGGTGCAAAAAGCACCCGCTTGGTCATTGGAAACCAACAAAATGTCCAATCTAAGTTTAGATTTACCGGATTATAGTTTCGCCCCTCAAGAATATATCACACAGGTCGGACAATATTTAATGACATTGCCACAGCATTTGGAACCATTTCTATTGAGGGACAATCCGAGTTTAACGCTAGCATTGAAGGCAGCTGATCCGCAATATGTTCAAAGCTCGACTGAATCTGGATTTACTAGTATACTTTTAGACATTGTTGCTCGAGGAACGTGTCAAATGTTCCAGGATCAAACTTTAGGCATCTGCCAATTGAATTCCGTTGCTTGTAAACAGCTTGCAACCGATATTGGTAAATTTTTTGTTGTATCTAATTTTACAATTTTTGAAGAAATTATATTTGAAGAGATAGATAAAAGTTAGATTATGTATTGTAGATTATTTAGGTAATGTATTGGAGGAACTCGGTCTGTGCTTATCGGAAAATCTTCAACACATGTCCTTATTGCTGAGATTACCGTCGGAGGATTATCAGAGTGGAAGTTCCGGATGCAATGCTCGTGTTGTAGCTGCAGTCAGACAAATGCGTAACATTACATCTTCTGGCTGACATAGTCCGCATCAAACCGAACGCGATGTCACATGAGAAACTTTATTTCATATTTGTGGTAAAGATGAAGATTTCACACGATATTTGCATATTCGTAATTATTTTGTAAAATAATCATGTATATAATATTTAGACAATAGATATTATGAACATTTAAATATGAATGTACTCTTGTTTTAACTTTTCATATCTGTATTGCAAGATTTATTTAATTATAACAAAAAGCTGGTTTAAAAGATCTGAATCTCGTGAAATAAAACTCAAGTTTAATTTAAATGACACAAACATATAATATTATTTGATCAGGACAAATGCGGGTATTCATCAAGTATCGTATTTTAATGTCATTTATTCACTACACTATGCCTGAACTGAAATACTGTTGACCGATTGACTCTGCACCATCAGTAATTTTCCGGAAACTCGGACACAGAATAACTTTATTCCAAACGTATTTTCGACGTATTCTGCTTTCTCTCATATATCTGTACCATGATACAGAACTATAAAACAAATTACAAAGATCGCAGCACCATAATAGCTCGGGACACAATTTATGCGCCGAAGGCGTAAAATACTTCTAAAGAACGAGAGATATCTTTATATATAAGATCTGTAGGAAACCGGATCACTTAATACCGGTAGAGATTCACAGTTGAGCATGTTCTCTTACTCTTTCATTCATTCTCTTATCACATATTCTCGCATATACATATAAAGTTCGAGCCAAATACATATTAACGTTTTCTTTAACGAGTCATATTATAAAGATATAGATAAAATGTAGCAAATACATAATTCAAAATGCGAATATGCACATTTGAATTGGATAAAAATATCTATTTTGCATAAAGAGATTCGTATTTTTATATATATATATATAATAATATATATATATATATATATATATATTATATTATTATATATATATATATATATATATTATTATTTATTATTTA